ACTGTCCAGCACCTCCTGCATGCTGCCCATGCAGTACTTCATCACCATATGCATTTTTTCTTCCTTTCATCATGCAGAACGTCCACCAGCTGGATGATGTTTTTGTGTCATATCCTCTTCTGTAGTAGAATTTCCAGGTGTCCTAGGTGTGGGTGGAGAGCTGGCTCCTCTCAGGTGCTCCAGGTGCAGGTGCAGGTGCAGAGCCAGCTCTTCTCAGAGACCATTCTCCAGCACCTGCTCTTCACTTCTTCACACTGGCCTCCCAGATGGGGATTCTTCACAACTTCTTCTTGAGGATCTTGACTGCTCTCCTGCACAGCGTCTCCGAGTCCAACGCCTCCTTCACCCTGCCTAGGACCCTTTGCCCAGAAGGTCCCCCTTCAGGTACTTGTTGAGGAGCATGGCCTGCTCACCGCAGGGCTTGCTGATGGACCCGATGTGGTGGATGAGGGTGTCCAGCCCCACTGATATCAGCTCACCCTCCATGAACATGCCCAGCTGCTGCAGCCCCACCACATTCAGCCTGGCCCCATCGCCGCCTGGGAATTCCACTAGCTAGCCCTTACTCCCCAGGTGAGAGGTTCTTCTTCTTGCCCTGACTTCCCTTCTCCAAATGTTTAAAAAGAAAGAAAGAAAAAGGAAAGAAAAGAAAAGAAAAGAAAAAGGCAATGAACCCCTCCCCAAAGAAAACCTTTCCTTCCACAGAAATGATTGTCAGTTCAGGCTGCAAGCCAGGTGCAGGGTGAGGGGTGTGCGACTTGAGTTGGAGGGCTACCTGAATTGGAGGGCTGCCTGGCCTCAGGGCTGGGGGGTGGCCTGTGCAGGGTCAGTGTGTCCAAGGGAGTCCTCAGGAGGCTTGCTGGGGCTGCTCAGTCCTAGGTCATCATTGGGAACCTCAAACCCATTGACAAGCACTCAGGCAGGCAAACAAAGCCTCCTTGGGGGTACATCCCACTGGGCTGGGGTGCATGATGAAGAACCTGCAACAGCTGACCAGCAAGGGACCCCCAAACCTGGGGAGACAAGCTTTGCTGGGCCCTCCTCCAGCTATGACCCTGTAGTACCACCACTGTTCCCAGCATGAGCAGATAGCATGGCTGCCACCCGGACGTCAGAAGGGGGAGTGGAGGCTTCCAGGGGCCCTCCTGCTCCAGTCAACAGCCCTGCTTTAGGCAGGCAGTTCCCAGTCACACTCTCCCCTGACCCCTCCGCCAACTTTTTGAAGTACCCTTGTATACATTTGCATATCATGTATACATGCATCCTGTCTATATAATATTTATAATACTGTCTGTCCATAGTATATAAGTCATATACACAGAATTAAAATGAAATTATACTATAAATATTTTATAATTACTACAAATGATTTATATATATATTTTATAATAATATGTCGTTAGTATTCATCCCATTGTCCAAATTTTAAACTCTGGTTACCTACAGCACTCGTTTTGATTTGAATTTTTTTCTCATTCTGTGGTACAGGTATGTCATCCTTTGCCAACTATATAAAGAGCAATTTAGAAGCAGGTTGTGTTGGTCCTTCCATGGCCCTGATAGAGTGACAGGTATTTTAAAGCTATTTCATTAGTATTTCTAGAATGAAATTAGTGATGAGTTGAGTTCCTAACTTACCACTGTTTTATATTTAAGGGTTAAAGGTTGGATATTTTGCAAGGGGATCAAGAAGGTATTGGGTTAGGAAGATAAATTGTGCATAAAACAAAGACCCCAAATAATTATAAACTCTATCCATTCCTATCATCAGGCAAAATATCGTGTTCAGAAGTTAGTTTGAATGAATGCAACATATACTACCTTTAATATCAATAGGAACATCAAGCAAAGAACATCAATTACACCAAGGGCCTAGACCAATGTAACTTCTAAAATCTGAAAATTCCTTCATGTGTTTAGGATTCAGAAAAAATAAAAGTCTGTCTCACAATATTATCCTACACATTTAAAACAAAATATGTGGGTAACATCAATTAATAATTAAGATACAATTATATCTCATAATTGTATATGATATAATTTGGACTTTGGCCCAGAAGGCCAAAGCAAACCTGGACAAAAAAATAAATAAATAAAATAAATACATACATACATACATACATACATACATTCATACATACATACGTACATACAACCAGAGGCATTACAATACCTGACTTCAAATTATACTCCAAAGCTATAGCAACCAAAACAGCATGGTACTGGCATAAAAACAGACACATGGACCAAAGGAACAGAATAGAGAACCCAGAAATCAACCCAGGTATTTACAGCCAACTGATCTTTGAAAAAGATGCCAAGAACATACATTCAGCAAAAGACAGCCTCTGCAGTAAATGGAGCTGGGAAAACTGGATATTCATGTGCAAATGAATGAAACCCATAACTCTCACCATATACCATAATCCACTCAAAATGGATTAAAGACTTACGTATAAGACCTGAAACTATAGAACTCCTAGAAGAAAACATGGGGGGAACACTTCAGGCCATAGTATTGGGCAAAGACTTTATGAATAAGCCTCAAAAGCACAAGCAGCAACAACAAAAAATAAACAAATGGGATTATATCAAACTAAAAAGCTTCTGCACAGCAAAGGAATCAACAGAGTGAAAAGACAACCTACTGAATGGGAGAAAATATTCGCAAATCACACATCCAACAAGGGATTAATATCCAGCACATACAAGGAACTCAAACAACCGCACAGTAGAAAAATAAATAATTCAATTCGGGAAGAGTTTACTATATTTGATGAAGTACCTAGTCTTTTTAGCCAAGCATGAACAGTAGTACCATGAATGTAAAAGACAGTGATAGAGACAGTATTGAGAACAAACCAAAAATTGTTGTGTATATAGTTGTAAAAGAGTATTAGTTATATAACTTCATTAGATTTTTAAATAAACTTAATATGCATTGAAGAACTGGCAGTTTAAGTGGGCTGTTCATACAAATACTCTACATTTTTTTTTTTCCTTTTTGTCTTTTTTCGTGACCGGCAACGGATCGCAACCCTCGGTGTTGCTCCTGCACCTCGCTCAGCCAGTGAGCAGGAACCGGTCTGCATGTGGGATCCGAACCCTCGGCGGGAGCGCCACCGCGCTTCCCAAGCGGCGCACTGTAGCAGTGTGCCACTGGGCCGGCCCACTACTTTACATTTTTTAAGTTTAAATTTATATATTTATTTTGGTGAGCAAGTGAAACGTGCTGAACACTTTCAGTGTTCTCGAGTGAAATGCATTTGCACTGGCCAGAGTTTTAGATCTTCTATCGCTCCAGTGAGTGATCCCATCAAATTCTGTGAGTTGATGTAGAAGAGAAGTAAGTAAATAAAACTTTGGTATAAAGATTTGTGCGGTACTTTTTATTCTTTTTTTTTTTTTGTCTTTTTCGTGACCGGTAAGGGGATCGCAACCGTTGACTTGGTGTCTTCCGCACCACGCTCAGCCAGTGAGCGCACCGGCCATCCATATATAGGATCCGAACCCGCGGCCTCAGCGCTATCAGCGCCGCACTCTCCCGAGTGAGCCACGGGGCCGGCCCCAAAATGCTTAAATTTTATTTGTGTTTTTTTTCTGTTGTTTGTTTTTGTTTTTGTGACAGGTAAGGGGATAGCTTGGTGTCGCTCGCACGGCGCTCAGCCGGTGAGCGCAGCGGCCATCCCTATACGGGATCCGAACCCGCGGCCTCCGAGCTCCGCCGCCCATCCCTATACGGGATCCGAACCCGCGGCCTCCGAGCTCCGCCGCTGCACTCCCAGCGCCGCACTCTCCCGAGTGAGCCACGGGGCCGGCCCCCAAATGCTTAAATTTTAAAGTTTATTTAAAAACCTTTATTCTTTTAAAAAAAATATGTGTTTGTACCACTCGGTTGTAGCTTTTTTAGTAAAGTGGTTTTTGGAGCGATCTTTGGTCCACACTGGACCGTTCTTACGAGTCACTCGTGCTGGCCGTTTCCATCAGCACCGGCGGCCTCCACTCCGGCCTGGCCCGGCT